ATCACATTTTTGTATTATGAACGGAGGGTAAATGCTTCGCATCTTTCATTAAAATATTGAATTGTCAGTAATCGCCTAGTGAATTTTACATTTTTGTTTTTATTATTAGAATTAAAAGTTTAATAATGTCATCAAGTTCTCTTTTAATTTTCAGCATAATCAGAAAACGGTGTTCCTAGACATTTCTGGTACCTCTTTGTGCATGCATGAAGGCAGCTTCAGTGGCTGCTTGCCCTTCATCGATGATTGATCGATATTTACATTGAAGCTGATTGCTGAGCTGCTAGCATGCGTGTTTTAGTGTAACTTTTTGCCCACATTATTTTGCATCTCACAGTCTGTTTAATGTAGGCAAAACAACTAACTTTGTGCTAGGATCTCGTATTATCATATTATTGATACACTAATATATGTGCATAGCTGTTATATTGCGTATTTGTTTTTGTCATAGACTATTTTTCTGAATGCCCCCTCCCCAACTATTACATAATTTCGTCCTCAGCCGGTATCTTGTTCCACTCTGTGGTTTGCGTAATGTAAAGTTCAGACTGCTATTTTCGGATAAATTAATTTCAATAGTTCTGGAATTTCTGTTTTGAGTTAATTTCTTCTCGAATCTTAATTTTCTCTCTTCCGTTTTCCATCAGTTGTATAGATTTAAAATTCAGAAGACCGCTTGCGTGAAGATTTTGCACTCTTCCTCCAAAAAGGCAGATTGTCATTTGTGAGTGATCGAAAGTCGATTTGAATAGTTTAATTTTAAATGTTTAAATAGTTTCGGGTAGCATTACAAACGCACTGTGAAGAATTTTACCGATTTAAAATTTCAACAGTTTTTTGTATTTTCGGTTTGGCGAAAACTTACATATTAAAATCTATATATTCTGCAGGGAAAACGTCTTGCGTGATTGATTGTTATAGCTTATAGAAGTGTCAGTCCGAAATGTAGGTCGTAGTTGACGTCCAACCGACAAGGCAGTATGCTATGATGTTAATCGTTTACTTAGTGTCAGCGGTCGACGGTCCAAAAGATCTTCAGACGAAGCTTTATCACGCTTTTCGTGTGATAGGACGATTCAGCTATTTTATGTTTCTATTTTTCATTTCATTTATTTGAATTTATTCCAATTCAACTGTAGAATCAGAAGATTTCATATTAAATGCATCTTCGTACACCAGAGTATTTCCCATAACGCCTAAATTGTCCACGACCAGGTGTCACAGCATAAAGCACGTCCCCTTTGCTCCTAGTTGCCCAGGGGGACAACTTAACTGTTACGGTTACATGATATTCATTATACGGTAGTATATAATGAGCGGCAGGCTCTGAAACACCATTTCGGAATGAGCACCAAATGACTCTAATGGACAAGATAATGCGAAATGCGTTTCGAGCAGTGTAAATCCTGAAAATGCACAGAACCTTCTCCAGCTTAACTTCTCCCTCCCTACTTCCCAAGGGACTGGGAGCAAAGAAGCAATGTTGGAGGAATTATGCGTTATTTGAATGCATATTCATAAAATATATTTTCAGTATAATGTCTGCATTCATTCCAGAGCATGATAATTGAAGAGTAGCGTTTCCATTACTCTGTTCAAACAGAAATGTATGAAGCTTAAGACCGGATGAACTCTTCAGTGATTACGTCAGAAAACGGACAGTACCACAGTAATGTCACACGATCGGCAAAGGGCCGAGTAAACAGACGTCAACTTATCCATTGCCGTTGGTCATTGAATAATAGAAGTTAGAAAATGGATATGGAGAGAACTGTTGCATAACAGTGAGTATAAGTTTTGAATTTATTACCAATTCAGTACCGCAAAATCGTACTAAATCAGTGCTAAATATTTTGATTCCGCTGTTAGGAAACATTAATAAAAATTCAGTGGTATGTTTTGGAT